GCCCTCGCTGCTCCCCAACCCCGCCCGCACCCCGACATGGTGGGGGGAGGCGCGGCCTTTCTCACCCACACCCCGCTCCCCAGACGGGCTGTATCCTTCCGCCACCTCATGTTCCATCCCCACCCCTCCGCGCCCTGACCCACACCCTCTCGCACTTGGTCAGGGTCCGGCAGGTGCTGTCGCGGCGCCGCGCGATGACGTCAGAAGGAACTCTTAAAGGGCCAGCCCTCTCTGCTATAAACAGTCCGCGCACCTTTTATCCCCTCCTCTCCTTCCCCCATAGAAACCCTGCTCTGCCTCGCTGCGGACTTTCCTCCTCTCACTGCCGGAGCGCTCTCGGTTTAACAGGAGTCCGCTTAAGGCGGAAGAAGAAGAGCGGCGTTGCTATGGCGACTGCGCTGTGTACGTCATCTTCGGGCGCCGGAAGTGTACCGCGGCGAAGCGGAGTGTTCTCTCTTCGCTGGCGGTTTACGCTGAGGATTCGGACCCGGAGTCGGATAGCGAGGCCGGGACGGCGGGAAGCGATGGGGGAGCCGCTACGGGTGAGGGGGCTGGGGAAGGTGGCGGACCCCTCTGTGAAGGGAAGGCCCCACTTGTTTCCGCCTCCCCTTTCCTCATGGTTTTCTTTTTCACTTCCTCTTTAGGAGAGAAAGGAGGCCTGGTGTCGGTTGGGTACGGAGATGACGACTTCACCCGCTTGGATGGGGATGAGGATGGGTATGAAGAAGAGGATGATGAGAACAGCAGACAGTCAGTAAGTATCTCTCTGTTCCGAGAGCTTGCCCTGATCCCTTTCACATGTTGCAGAGGCTTTTCTCTCTGCAAAGAAGGCCCCTGAGTGGCAACCTGTGATGGAACCTGGAATATCAGCAAGCTGTGTGGGTTTCAGCACTTTCCAAATACTTCTGTTCGCTTTGTTTTCAAGTAGAAAGTGTTTGCCTTGAAGTCCATCAGCAGCTTGGCACAGCTCGTGTTGCTTGTTACTGTGTTGATGCCGTTTGACTCTCTTATGGGAAAAAGGCTGGTACAAGTCAACAGCCACACTAAATGAAAATTATTCTAGTATAGTTGACATATGAGAACCTAGTAAGAGGAATGCACTGTTTCACGCTCTGCTGGAAGATTAAAAAGATTAAAGTTTTGTGATGCCTTAAATTATTCTTTTGTGTATAATTCAGCCCACTCACTACATCAGGTTACCTTGATGTAATAGTGTCCTGTCTAGACGTGACTGACTTTTGTTTGTCATAGGTGCATGGCATGTGTATAACATCACCTACATACTGAGATAACTGATGCACTGTGAGACAAGGCATGTAGCTCACTACCTGTAAGTGCAGCTATAACACACAAAAGGATACATATTTCTGTTGTGTCTGTAGGAGCAAAACAATAAGGGGGGGTTCTTGTCTCTTGTCTTTCTCCTTAACCTTTGCTTACCACCACATTAAGAATATGTTATCTTGTCCCTGTTCTTTCCTCTACCATGTAGCCAAAAAGACAGGGCTATAACCTTTTGTTATTGAAATCTACTTTTTGTGCATTAGATCAGTCTCTTATGAGACACTCACTGTTCCTGCCATCTCTTTTCCCAAGTAGCAGACAAGAAATTTGTCAGTGTTTTGTTCTTGCCTTTGGTTTTATTCTGTTGCTAACTGGAGAAGGTGCAAGTAATAGCATTCAGAGTCTGCATCAGCAAGTAGTGAAGCTTCTTTACTGCTTTAGTGATTCTTCTTTTTATATCCAAAACTCTAGTGCTTCCTTCAGTGAGATCTCTTTTTAAAGAAAGCAGTAGGTATGATCCAGATGCTTGTCACGATCAGCTGTGTTTAGTTAACATTGACAAATGGGCATGTAAGTGGAGTAGCCTTTATTGCATGTACAATTTTCAGAGCAGGTTGCAGCTGTCGATCATCTGTGAGGTATAAGTTGCTGTTCAAGTAATGGCAATCGATCGAGTCACTCTGGTGCTAGCCAGTAGATCTTGCATATATTTGTGGTTACTGTACAGATGCACGCAGGTTCCACGGGGTGCCTTCTCTCCAGTCTTGTTGCAGGAGAGCAACGCTTGGCTTTTCGCATTAAGTATTCTTTGACCAGAATTGGTCAAATCAATTCCTTGATATTGCTTGTTCTAGTAGTTTATATTAGTTATGAGTTGTTTTTAGAAAGCAATGTAAGTTGGATTCAGGTTGTCCTGAGCTTTTGTCTAATCAGCTCTGTGTTTACATTATCTACCTTAACAGTGACTGAAAAGCCTCTCTTTTTTTCAAAGGCAGTTCTCAGTAATGCTTCTTTGTTGATGTTTCAGTGATATGCCCTGCTAGGTTAGGAGGTTTTGGGAGCTGTTTCAGTTACCTATCTATAACATGAATGATTGAATCCATTGTTGCTTGGTTGAAAATTACTTTTGTCTTTATAATATAGGTGGGACTGTGGAGGGGAGAGTTATCTCGTTTGTGATAAACACCAAGTTACTTGGTACTATGGTTCTTTTCTAGTTACAAACTTACTGTTATTAAACTTTGACAATTAAGACCGAGTTATTGATAGATGTGCATTTTTCAGAAAGGTAAGCTGGAGAGTAGCTGAAGTGAAGGAGTTTGATGTCTCACTTCTGTGGGATAGACATGTTAATTCAGGCAATTAAAACTTACTGATATTATTGTGTGGTCAATCTCTAGCTTGCCTTGCCAGAATTTGCTTGTGTGCTAATACTCTGAGGTGGGCATTTCATTGTAAACGATTCCTTTCAGGTGCATGTAATCATCTCACTTCTTTTTTTGTTTTTCTTTTTGAAGCTGAAACACCAAGTTATTATTTCAGGGCCCAAGTTGAAATTTGTGGTCAATTTTGGAGGAGAAAACTATTCTGCTGTGTTGTGTTAGCATGAAAAACATTTTCTGCTCCTCAAACTTGTTTTGAACCCAGAGTATGTATTTATGGAAACATAGGTAACTCTAGGATCCTAGTGAGGTAGTTCATAGGGCAGTAATACAGTTAGGCTTACCTATCAATTGGGGCGCAAGCTGGACCTTGCTTCTCACGTGATGTAGAATTTCACACAATGTTGAGTTCACTATTTTAAGCTCTCAAAGGGCAGAAATTTGCACAGTTCTGGTTTATTTCTGGGTGGAAATAAAAACTGAATGAAGTCTGCTACCTAAAACAGTGAAATTTGTCAGTGATTCCGTTCTGTGCAAGTTCATGTCATCTGCAAATGAGGCTGCGAGACCACTACACAAATAAGAAAGATGCGGTGTCTGCTGGCATTACCGGATCCTTGGAACTTGGTGCTAGGCCAGACCGTCACCGAGCCTGCATGCTTGGTTGGATGGCAGGCCAGCTGTGTGTGTCCTGTGTGTGTTGCTGATGTATGCTTGGGTGTATAATAGGTCTTGCAAATGCTGCTTTTTCTGTGAGTACTGCTAAGTGGGGCAAGTGCAAAAAGCCTGCCTGCTAACTGGAAGAGACAGAATTATCAAATGACAAATGCTTTTTTCCCCAATTCTGTTGCTTCTTATTGTCTAGTTCTGAGCATTCAGGAGCTGCATGAATTTTGTGGGGGACATCTGCTACTAAGTGATGCTTTTGCCTAAAAAAATCAAATCTAAAACCCAAATAAACACTTCTTTCTCTCACTGTAGGACTTGTTTTCTGGTCATGAGTGGGTGGGGCAAAACTACCTTCCACGGAAAGGGTCTTGGACTACTGCTGGGCTGCTGAATGCGAGCCCATTGCTGTAAGTGCAGTTACTTGCCAAGCCTGATCTTTAAGCTTAATCCTGTAAATTCTTGTCTTGTAGGAAGATGACGATTCAGAGACTGAAAAACCTGAGGCTGGTGACCTAAAGGTATTTGAAAGTGTGGTATGGTGGTGGGGGGGAAGCTCAGTGCAAGAGGAATAAGTCTTAACAGCATGGCTTGGTGTTCGTTTGTGATCTTCCGTAGCTAGTTTCATACTTTCCTTTTTGTAGCTGTAACATGTCTTTTTGACTTTGGTTCTGGCTTCTGCCAAAGGTAGTTAACCAGTTAGGCTACAGGCTGAGTCATGATTAAGATCTGCGTTCATGACCTTTTTCATCTTGTGCATTAGATCCGAGGTAGATTTTCTGTCAGCATCTCACCTATTTTGCAGTGATCTGGGAGATGTAGTATTCCGTACAGGATTCTCTTCTGACCAGTGTTAGTTGGACTACTTTCTTCATTTAGGACAACTTAATGAATAAATGATCTTATGCGCCTAGAGGTGATGACATGTCAAAATAAATTCAGTTGTCTCCAGCTCTTTTTCTGTCCTTCTGAATGAAGCAGTTTTGTAAAGGTTGTATTTAAAAAGTGAAATAAGATCCCCAGATGATAGCTATCATAAATAATTGCAGTTGTCTTTATCTTGGGATTACATCTTGTTTCTGCTAAACAGCAGGTGTTTAACAGCACAAAGGAACATACATCAGGCTAAAAGCCAGAAGACAGACAAAAGACCAAATCCATTTGAAACTTCATCGAGAACTGTGCTCAAATTTTTATGCTAGTTCAATCCCCCATGTAATATAAGCAGTCTTGTGGGATACCGAGTGAGTGACATTTGCAAGGGCCTTTATTTTATCCAGTAGCTTCCTCAAGGGTGCAGACAATCTCTAAGCTTTGCTACGGAAACCAGAGGACTGTGCTGCAAACTGAAATTCTGTAGAACATTTGAATTAGCACAGGGCTTTGGTAGGACAAGATGAAGGCAAATGAATGTGCTTCGTTATTCTACTTAAATTAGTTTTATAGCAGCACCTTCTTCAAGTTTCCACAATATTTTTATGGGTTTATGTTGATACTCAGTTGAAAATCGTGGCAGCTGCACTGCAGCTGGTAAAGTCTCTTGCATCAGTGTGTGAAATACCATTAATGCCTTTGGCATAGGGGTAGGAGGCACTTGGAAATGGAATGTATTGTCTCCTTTCCTTGTTACAAGAAAAAAAATTACCTTCTTTTGGAAGAGGGGAAAAGGAAATCTCTCACTTTCATTCTTTTCCTACTTCTAAATTTTTGCCATTGTGGCTGGTAAGCATGCTAGCAAGATGTTTCTGTAAAACTGCTGGATTCAAATGTATACTGTGAAAGAAGAATAGGTGGATTTTCCTTAAAAGAGAAGTTTGGTGTGTATCACCACAACCTCTGTAGTAGGGCCCTGCAGTTGTTTGCATTTCTGTCTCCTCTGAAAGGGCTCTAGGACTTCAGGGCAATGGAGAAAAGATCTGGCAAAAGAGTAAGAACAAAATCAGACTATAGTAGCTCTTGTCAGAGTAATGATGCGTTACAGAAATCTTACCACTGAGTTGTGTGGCTACTGCTTTAATATGTTGCTGACGTTTCATGTTTTGTTTAAAAAGCCTCGTGATTTCACTGAGTTCTATGTGTTACTGTCTAGGTGCATTTTGCCCTTCTGAAGAAGAGCTACCCGTGGCCATGGAGCAGTGTTTCAGCTTCGGTGGGGAAGCACAGAAACACTGAATGTATTAAAAGAATTTGGTATCTTGGGTACACTCTGCAGCAGGAACTCTGCAAGAACTGAAAATGTAAATTAAAGTTAAACTTAAAAAAAAAAAAAGGTAAAATGTAATTCCTGCCATCCTAGCATGGCATGAAATGTGAGGATTTGAGAAGAATAGCAGGGAGGCAAATCTGAACTTCAGCAGTTTCAGACTTTTGTGTCGTTCTTAGTAGATGTCTTCATACATAAGTGAAAAAGAGAACAACCTCCTCTGGCCTTTTGGTTTGGTTTTTTTCTTTTAATTCTAGCTAAATAGCCAGCTGGGACTGGGAGAGGGGGAGAGGTAGAAGCACACCTTTGCTATGCAGCATGCTGCAAGGCAGCCCGGCCCAGTGCTGTGCTGGTAATAGAGCAGGCATGTTGCTGTACAGTGTTTTGTGGGGCCCTGATGGAGTTGCACTAGCCATGCTGTTAAGAAATTCACTTGAGAGGGGTGAGATGGAACATTATTGTAAAAGTAGTTGTACTTGGAGCAGTTGCAAATGTTTCCTATCCCCCTTTTCCACCAAGTGGCAGTGTTCTCATTCTTCCTCATTGCTTTGAGCTTGCAATATCTATGACAACTAGTGAGTAAAAGTTGTAGCTACTATAAATTCAAAGTGTGGCAAAAAGTGAGGCACTTGATTATAACTCGCTAACACTTTTGGATTATTTTATTTTGTCCCAGCTGAGTGCTGTAGTTGTTCTTGATCTAACATTTAATTGCAAGACATCACAGACCTGGAAACATGTTTAAATAGATATCATGGGCTCTTTATATATGGCTAGGGCTTTTCCAGGGTCTGAAACTGACTGTATGCAGAAGGTAAATCCTTTAAAATGCATGAATGAGGTAAATTCGCTGCAATTCATTATAATCTTTTCAAGCCCTGCATATACATTCAGCATTTTTTCAGTGTTTGCCTCTTCGTACATATGGTGAATGAACTACTTTGAGATTATGTCTTGAATAATTGACTAGGACACTTGAGCCAGGTTGTGTGGAGAAGGAGTTCCCTTGCTGCTGGTGCGTCCTGTGATTTGGCCTCATTCTGCACATAACACCAGACACACAACCTCCAGAAGGTTCAGTTGTTGTCTATGTGGGTATAGACCTGAGGAGACTGAAAGTGGGGAATAATGTAAAAACTGTCTGGTAAAGTGATGCTGGGGAGAGTGGAATTTAGAGCCTGTCTCAAATAGCCCCAATGGGGAGATGTTTTTTCTACCCCACCCTATGGTGTTTATATTTATCTCAAGTTTTTGTCTTGATTCCAGGGAGTATGCCCTTGTTGATCTTGATCAATCATCTGAAAGTGTTCTTCCAGAGCAGACTTCTGGCCTGTAGGATTCTCTGTTACAGAGCACCTGTGAACCAGTACCAAACACTGTGCTAGCAGCAGAAAGCAGAATCCTCCTCCTTAAGTAGCAAAGTCAGATACCTTGCATTCTGTAGCTGCATTTTGAAGTGCTTCAGAGACCATTGGAAAATAGGAGATTCAAATCTAGGTAAAACTGATTGCTCTTCCAAATTTCACCTTGGGAGGATGTACTCAGGCTCTGGAGCAGGACATATTTGTTAGTGACCAAAATCACTTCAGGGATCCCTGGTTTTAAGTCAGCAGTCACCAATTGTAAACTAGCAGCTATCTTAAAGGCACTTCAGAAACAAAGCCTTCTGCTTAGAAGGGAAAAGAAATGGTCAACAGCTGTTGGCAAAAGTGTGGTGTTAAAGATGGAATCCCACAGCCTGGATGGGTTCTTTATGTCATTTCTGCAGATAATGGAGCTGTGGGTACAAAAAAAAGGGCGTTGTGGAAATGAGTGTGAAATTTGGTGTTCTGCTGGCATTGATTTGGAATGACGAGGGTTAACGGGCTGTGCAGTGAGTGCAAGTTGCTTGGGCTCTTGCCAGCAGTTGGCTATGCTTACAGCCTTGATGCAGTAACAAGATACAAGTCTTCAGAGCTCACTAAATGGACCAGCCCTGCAGGAAGAAAGAAAATGAACCTTAAATGAAATGTGCTCCAAGTCTCACCTGAGGGGTTCTGTACTTCCTATTGTAGGGCTGGATGAATAACAGGTTGCAAGCATTGATCAAGGACAGAGCCCAGCCCTGCAGCTTGGCTTACTGGAGTTTTCACAGGGGGAAATCATTAACTCTCGAGCCTTGATTGTGGTATCTGGACTAGCCAGTGCAGGAAAGCAGATAAATATTGCCACTCCCTTGGCAAGTGAATGCCTGACACATGGTAAGAGTTTTTCAAAGCAGGTGGTTACTTTGATGTTTTCCTTTTCTGGGTTTTTTTTAAGGGTCCTCTCTCCATCCTTGTGGCATTGGATGGAGAGACCGCCAAACTGGGATGTAGCAGAAGGGTGTCAAATTTTCAGCTTTCATTGATCCAGCATACCTGTAAAGTAATTTTACTGTGTTATGATGCGTAGGTGTATACTAATACTTAGATAGAGGCTTTTGATTGCAATGTTTTTTTTATCTTGCCTGCCTATTAACCTGTTTGTTTAAATACCAAAATTATCTTGATTTAAAGTAAAAGCAGTAAGTGCTAAGAACCAATAAATGGATGTGTGTGCAGTAATGTAATCCCTGTAATTAACTCTAATTTTGATAAAGCATGTTAATTTCTCTGAATTCAAGATACATTTATCAGGCCAGATTCTCAGAAGATGCCTGAACCTACTTGGTAACTTTCACCTCAAATACAAGTGTTTTGCTCTGAAGAAGGGGAAAAAGTGTGCTTGGGAAAAGTTGTATCATTAAAGCACTGCTGTTCCGTTTAGGTATTACACAGCAGGCTGTATAAAAGGAGCTGTCATTAGTAAGCTTTAAAAAATAATTTGAATCTTTTACTTTGGTGGTGGCAAATTATGAAGGTTGCTTAGGAAGCACCAGCCCTTGATGCTTTCAGTTGTTGAAAGGTAGTCTTAAAAATTCTACTTAGTATATATTAAAGGTCATATAACTGAAGAACACATACTAAAATTGCTGTTGCATCACAAACCAGTGCACTCTGCTATGGCTGAAGTGGCTATGTATTAGTCGTCTTGCGGTGTCTGGATCTGGTAGGATATAACTGGTTTGTAAGTGTGTTGTAGGAAGGCACTCCCAATGTCTTATCAGAAACAAAAAAAAATTCATTACATTCTTTTTTTTTTTTTTTGCTACCATTCCCCGCCCCACCCTTGGCTTTTTGATGCTACCTGGGTTAGTATTGGCCTCTGATGGGCAGAACTGGCAAAAGAGCTGCTGTATTTTAAAAATGGCCTTGTGTTATGCATAGCCGTGCTGCGTACCACTTTGTAAATGCTTTC